CACCTTTTGTCAGTTGCCTATGGGTCTCTATCCCACAAATCGCCCTCACACGGATCCGGGCGCGAATGTGTGGAGCTCAGTGGCTCTGCCGCCATAGTCCCCCACCCGTGAAAGAAAAAAAAAAATGAAAGAACGTCAATATATGTTAAAATAATCAAAAAAGGACGTTTTGAAAAAGTTACAACGGAAAGGGGCCTCAGGAGACCAGGGCTCGAAAAGCCAACCCTTTCGGCGCTTTCGGACGAAGCCTGAACACTTTCCCCCCCCCCCCCCGTTGCAATGTAACAACGGCAGAGGGGAATCCAGACCTGTCCCCTTCCCGTCATAAAAAACCTGTCACGTTTACAAGCTACTGCGGCACGATAATCGGATAACCCGTTTTGAGAGGACTCCAGAAAACAAACGGCTGTGTAACTTCATGGTAGAATTCATGCTGCTGTATGTCCTCGGCTCGGATACATTTTGTTCCCCGGAGACCCCCGCAGCATGGTTCGTACAAACTTTAAGTTTTTGAACTGGGCCCTCCGAGGAAGGCAAGGGATGCCAGGGAAGCCTATCCGCTCATGAGGCCCCAGCTATTTACGGATACATTTTACACATCTTTTAGGGCCTTTTTGATGGTTGTCCAAGAAATAACTGACTTATTTCAGAGTGTGGAGGAATCAGGGGAAGTTGACATGGGGACTCTAATCCGCCTCATGAGGCACTATTTTCGGATACATTTTAACACTTTAGCCCTTTTTGATGGTTGTCGTGCAAAAAATAAACTCTGACTTTTTCAGAAGTGTGGAGGAATGGGCAAGGGGAAGTTGACAGGGACTCTTAATCCGCCGCCTTATGGGGCACTATCTTCGATACATTTCAACACTTTTAACGCCTTTTTGATGGTTGTCCAAAAATAACTGACTTTTTCAGAGTGGAGGATGGCAACGGGAGTTGACCCCAGGGGACTACTAATCCGCCTCATCGAGTGCACTATTTTCGGATACATTTTAAACACTTTTAAGCCCTTTTTGATGGTTGTCCAAAAAATTACTCTGACTTTTTCAGAGTGTGGAAGGAATGCAA